CTCTTCTTTTGTGTAGAAGCTTCTTTCCTCCGGAGGGAGCCTATAAATTTCTATCCTATGCATGCAAAGAGTCGGTTTTGATTTTGTCGTCTTCAGATCTCCTGTATGGAGTCTATTTCCCCTTTGTGGGTTGTATCCGAGGAAATGGTGATGCTCCGGTTATATCATTCTTTGAGGAGGTGATTGTATAATTCCCTTCTACCTTCCCCAAACTCTCTCCTCTCTGCTCCTCAACCGCCAAACTCTCCCTCCGTCACCCCGACACCAAACCATTCCTCTTTCTTACAGATTACTACTTTTATTCGCCTTCTTAACTCCATTCAAGCTCCTCCCAACCACCCCACCACCGTTGTCGACACCCACACCCTTCCCACTTGTTGTCCCTATAGTTTTCCACATTCTCCTCACTACCACCAGCACTTTGTGACCCTCACCACCCCTGCTAGCCATCCCGACCCACCTCGCCGATCTCCACCGCCAACTAGAATACATTTAAGAGCATTCTCTTGTGTCGTTCATGTTTGTGTTGTTATATTTTTTTTTGTCATTTCTTATTTATGTCGTGTTGTAATCCTATTTTAATATTAATGAAAGTTTGTTTTTGTGTTTTACACTATTTTCCCTACTAGTTTTGATATTAATGAGGCTCTAAAGAATAGTTTTTCACTTGACAGCCTATATTTCAAGTTAGAGGAAAAACGTTGAAGAGTAAAAAGATAATCATACTAATATTAAGAAATATTAAATATGAAGCTTTTGTTACATTCAAAGTTTTCAAATTATGCTAAATAAATTTTCCTAAACAAATTATCCTAAATACAGGCTTAATAACTTGAGAGGTTAAATTATTTCTATTTGTAGCGTTCCTAGCCTTGGGACAACATAATCTTCACTCCTATGTATTCGATCTTCAAAACCATCCATGATTTCCACTTTGTCACTAGGTAGCAACTCTTCACATATTATCTTGGGCTCATCTGCAACATATCAATGTTTGCAAATTTAAAACTCAAAAGCCTTGCATCTAATCAACCTTGTTTCTAAGAATGCAACCTTATTTCTCCAACTCTTCATGAACTTTCTACATCACCTCATCTCGAGTCAAAATCATCAAAATCAAACTTATATTTCATGTTTGAAGTATTAGCGATGATCTCTTCTATCAAGTCAAGCCCTACTTCCTGGCACCTTAAGGCCAGGCACTCGACAAGTTAATAGTTTAAGGTTAGAGGCTAGCAATGCACTATAAATATTATTGTCAGTTGGTGCGTAAGACTCTATAGCCTCACCTCGCCTTAACCACACTATCCAATAATATCTAAAATCAATTATATTCTAGTTAAACTAGAAACTAATGACAATTATTTTTAGTTTTACATTAATTTTCATATAGTTATAGGAAATTGTCATCTAGTTGAGTTATGTGCAATGTCTACTCCCATTATGTTCACAAGTCACAGCTCGTTCGAGTACAAAACCTATTTTGGAGATCATAAAACTAGTATTCAAAATGCATGCACAAGCTAAAGTTTGATAGTATAGATAACAATTTTACACATAAAGTAGTGTCATTCCACAATAGCAAAAGAATTCTTCAAATAGATTCAAAACATTCTGCTCTTCTTGCTTCAATTTTGTTAATTCAACAAAATAGGAGTACAATGAGTGTAACACTAGAAATATATGAAAAATTATTCATTCAATAATTCAGCCTATCTGATAGAGTAATTTATTAGTAATATTGCTTTCAAGTTGCAAAGCCATAATAAGCTTCATCAACACTACGCTTTCAAGTTGCAAAGCCATAATAAGCTTCATCAAAAACTCAAACACTATACATAGTTCACCTAGTGTTGATTACATTTAGAGAACTTGTTCCACATAATTCCCCCATCATTATATATATATTTCTAGTGTTACATATAAGTACTCCCATTATGTTCACAAGTCACAGCTTGTTCGAGTACAAAACCTATTTTGGAGATCATAAAACTAGTATTCAAAATGCATGCACAAGCTAAAGTTTGATAGTATAGATAACAATTTTACACATAAAGTAGTGTCATTCCACAATAGCAAAAGAATTCTTCAAATAGATTCAAAACATTCTGCTCTTCTTGCTTCAATTTTGTTAATTCAACAAAATAGGAGTACAATGAGTGTAACACTAGAAATATATGAAAAATTATTCATTCAATAATTCAGCCTATCTGATAGAGTAATTTATTAGTAATATTGCTTTCAAGTTGCAAAGCCATAATAAGCTTCATCAACACTACAGTTATACAACATAGTTCACCTAGTGTTGATTACATTTAGAGAACTTGTTCCACATAATTCCCCCATCATTATATATATATTTCTAGTGTTACATATAAGTTTTTCTTATAATTAATTGCACGTTTGAATTGATGAAATATCATAAGAAATTTCTAAGAACAAAAATTTAATAGAAGCCGTCCCCTTCCTCCTTAGAAAAAAGAACTGTCAGCATGCCCAAAAATTAAATTTTGATGACCATATAAAGTTAAAAAATATATGTTGAATCTTATATAAAAGAAGGGAAAAAGAAAACAGAACCTTGGCCTCAACATAAATAATGCTCGTGATAAATAGTTGTTGCTAATAAACCAAAAACCCTCAAGACAAGAAAGAATAAACTTAATGCAGAACGATGACAACATGTAACATATACAGCCCTGCTGAAAGAAAATTCCAAGAGAATTTTAAGCATATATTCGTTCGAAACTAAATCCCATAATGAAGGATGAAGCTAAAATAACATTGAATTTCCTTGACACAAAGGAGAAGTAACATTCTTTGGCATCAGAAGGGTCTTTTAGGATTATTGTCTTGTTATGTGCCAGAGTGGCAAGTCAATGTCATCAACATGCCTAGTGGCTTTATAAGCAACGCAATTGTACAAGTAAAATTTACCTTTGGAAGTCCGCCAATCCCCAAAGCTAAATCCAATGAAAAAGAACCAGTAGATATAACAGGAACTTCTCTAGGAGAATGAGAACGACCAAGCCACATAATTGCACCTTTTCCAAATGAAGCTGTAATTTGATCCAAGGCTTGCTGTAATGCCAAGTCCTTTTTAGATAGATTCTCCTCACCAGAATCACTTGAATTTGATTTAGACCTTTTTTTCCCTAACATCAGAATTGGCAGCACTTATGTTCACTTTTCAACAAATATGAAGCCTAGTTCAGTACCCTACATTGAAAATCCGCACTGATGTTTACACGAAACTTTTCAATTGTCAGGTTGTGATAGATTGGAAATATTTTGCATTTGAAAAAGGTATGTGGACAGTTATGTTGTGGCGTATGAAAACACATAGTTGATCCTTGCCCTATAGTAGAATTATTAAGATGGCATTCACGATGAACAGAATATTAAACTTCATGCCTATGATTTACATTTCAAATTATTGAAATCATATAGCATAAGAAATGTCAAACGCAAATAAGATCCTAAAATCTTGATTAACTCAAAAGCCAGAAACAAGAATAAAATTGAGATGCATAAATAAATGTTTTAAGCGTGTGCATAGATGTGTGAAGCTCTAGCTATTACATAAATGCAAAAAAGCAAGGAAAATCAGGTATTGTTAAGATAAGTTGACAGTATTATTAATTCAATTTAGCAACTTTTAAGCCAATCTTAGGGATATTAGTGAAGACAAAGTTCATAAATTATTGAATATTTAAAGTCTTATGGAGGAAGAATAATATGTTAAACCTAAACATGTTTCTTTTTGGAGCAAGGTATACGCAAATTTCTGAAAATAGGATAATTTGCAATAGCATACCTTTTGTGGAGAAATAACAAATTTGAGTAGGCATCAAGGATTCATGCCTATAAACCTGCCAAGGAATTAATGAAGCATTCTTTTAAAACAATTAAAGATGAAAAAAAAAGGCCTTCTATGCCAACTAAGTAACCCTTGCACAAGAAAGTACGCCGCCAATGACATTATTCAAAAATTACAGCATATGACTGACACAAGACAGTTTTGAACTTTTCATGGAAATTAGAACAGGTAAATCCAATGCAACCGTAGACAGTTAACACTTTTGAGTTCATCAAGCGGTAATGCCTTGTTAACAGCAACCTAGGCAAGCATTTCATGGAAATTAGAACAGGTAAATCCAATGCAACTGTAGACAGTTAACACTTTTGAGTTCATCAAGCGGCAATGCCTTGTTAACAGCAACCTAGGCAAGCTGCAATATAAAGATAGAAGCATGCATTCAGTCATTTGGTGGCTCGTATACTTCAAATAAGTCCACAGAGTTAAAACAAGAAGCTTCCAAGGGTTGGTAGAGAATCTTCTCTCCAACTAGAGACCCGGGTTCGAAGCACACTCTAGCCACTCATTTCTAACTTAACCGCCACCAAGGCTCAACTTTCCCCAAACAAAACGAAACGCTACAGACAAAAGCTCGTGGATGAAGAGGCGAATTAGCTAGCGAACGTGAAAGGGTAATGGACGAACCTGTGAAATAAAGACGCCTCTCTTCAAACAAAAGCTCCGAAGGAGCCTCGCCATGACTATTTGAGTAAAGGAGAACCCTGATCCTTGCCTCAACACATCATGATACACGGAAGAGCTGGCTCGGGCTAGGTGGCAACGCTTTGGGGTGTTCTAGGGTTTTGGGGAGGGTTTTGAACGGCTGCTCTTTTCAGCGCAAGAGTCCTTCCCAGGAGAACCAGGGGCCGTTTCCGGCCAACAGGGTTTATAACACCAAGATCATAAATTTAAGGGTAATTTAAAAACACACAATTTTATTTGTTTACATATCTCATGCCTAAATTTTCATATTTATACACATTACACTCAAAATATTAAATATTACATCAAAATTAACACTATTATAGCTTTTTAAAAATCAAAATACAATTTTTAATTTATACTTTTGAAAAACCTACAAGTTTAATGCGTAAATATGAGAATTCAGGTGTGAGACATGTAAATACATGTAGTGTATGTAAATTTTCCTAAATTTAAATATTAGATAGGTGAATACATAATAATTATACGAAATGTATGCAAATAAAATTATTTTATTAAATTTTAAAACTAACATATAAATGCATCATAGCTTTCTTTTGAGATCAATAAACCAACTGCTAAAGCCTTGCTATTATCTTAAACATCTCCTTGAAGCTCTAGGACAACATGGAGAAAACTAAACTCCGATCTTATTCCCTATTTTTTTCTTTTGAGATCAATAAACCAACTGCTAAAGCCTTACTATTATCTTAAACATCTCCTTGAAGCTCTTGGACAACATGGAGAAAACTAAGCTCCGACCTTATTCCCTATTTTCTGAGATTCTTATAAACATATCCAATTCTCACCATTTACTCAAATCACAGATACACAACCTAAATAATCAGTTATAATCTTTTTCAACATTTTACTTAGACCAAATCCATTTTCATAAACACATCTAGACTAATCTTGGTACTTCCACCACCAATCATACTAATCCCCTTAACATTTCATGTAGGTTTTTGAATCACATCTTTAGATAATAAACTAATGATTTAATATCTTTTATAGTTATCTAGCCATTAATCTTGCGAAAAGGCCTCCTTCCAACATCATACTTACTATCATAGCTAAACTAGATATGAGCATATTTTGTTCATAACTTATTTTTCAATTATAAGGGGAATTTTTAGTGTCTGACCTGTTTTGTTTTAGAACTTTTGAGATTAATTAACTATCTTATTATGATATTTTAAATTCATGTTAGTTGATTGAAATATATGCATATTACATGCAAAGTCTATGTTGATAGCGTAAATTTTAACTAGAAAACTCTATCACATAACCTGGCCTTTTTATTTCTTCTCAAGAGAAACCATTCAGAAGGGTGTTTTTCATTCTTTCATGATAATCTCACTATTGATGCAAAATTAAATTTTAGTTACTTATTTCACTTTGCTAATGCTTATGGTGAATTTCACAAGTTTGTTTTAATTTAACTTGTGAAGATTTACTTTATTAAGAGCTGGAGGTTTTATAGTATTAAGGTTTTTTTTTTCATGCATGCATAAAGATATAAGTATGTTAAACTTTATTTTTTTTTAAGACTAAGTAAGATTTTATAAAAAATATTAAACATGTCATATTCCCCAATTCTCATTCGGGGAGTAATATTTGCCTTAAATCTTACATGGATTACACAATTATATTTTTTGTTTTCTCTCATGCCCAATTTCCTCTCACTCCAATCTCTCTTTATAAATTGCAAAAGAAAAGTTATATGGCACCTCAGTCTTTCAAGACCAGGTTGAATACTTAATTAGATTAATAAATTCTTTAGTTCTTAAGACCCAAAAAAATAATCTAAAAACTAAAAAAATAGTATAAGAAAATAAGAAATAAATTAAAAAGTTTATTGATTTTGTAGTTATTAACCTTAAATTATTTAATCAGTCTCTCGATCACATCAATACTTATTTATTCAACTTAGGTGTTACAATGCTTAGAGGTGTATGTGAGCTAGCTTAAACTTGACATGCAAATGAGCTCAGAAAGGCAAGCTTATCAAGCCATAAGCTCATGTTTTAGTTCACATTTAAGCTTATATATTATACGAGCTTAAAATCTAGCTAGATTTGGCTTGGATTACTTGTTCTCAAGCAGAATTAATTTGACATTTAAACTTAAATACAGATTTCATTGTTTTAGATATTACTAAGGCTCAACTTCCAAGGTATTGCCTGTTATTCTTATACTTCAAACAATGTTGGCTTCCTCTTCTTCTCTAATCGATGATCCCAAGACATTCATCAACGGAACCCCTTGTCGCGACAACCTCTTTTTCTCTGAACTAATGTTGATGTCTTCTCCGGCAAGCTCACATGGCAACTTTATCTCATTTAGCAACCCATCAGTCTTATCAATTATTCTCTAGTGACCACCAAAGCAATTTTTTCTTAATACTCCAACCACCCAATTAGGTTTGATGACTTCCATTTGAGCCAAGATTGAGCCCAATAATAAATGGGCATGATTTGGTAGCATGCTTTCACTAGCAATAAGAATTTCATCGGTAGTTAAAAAAGATCAAACATTTTAAAGACTCAATTAATGATATAATAAATATAGGACTACTAAGCACTTCTTTTAAAGGTACATTTAAACATATAATATACAAACTAAAAAAGATATATCGCATGCATAAAATGATAACCATAGATGGCGCATAAGCACCTTTTGGTTGTTTGACATTATATCTAATATTGTTTTTCAGAACTGGGGTTCTCTTCAAGTAAAAAAGAGTCAAAAAATATCCAAAATAATCCCAAAATGAAATTTCAATTGCAATATCATTCATATAAAATATTAAAATACAAACTCGAACATTCCAAGCTAATAATTGAACAAAACAACTTGAAGCACAAGAAAAACATATAATAACCATAGAAAATACATGAGTCCTACAATAAAAGCAACTGCAACACTGAACAACTCCCCTGAAATAACATTTTAATTACCGACCCAACATGCATAGAATAAATATTTTTTGAAGCAACACAAATTGTACTAGAGTCTTATGATTGCCTTCTCAAAGTGTGGTCCTTCCTTATTGATTTATCAGTCCAAAGAAAAAAATGTCATAATCTTCAATATGATTCATGGTCATTTGTATAACGTCCTTCAGGATGTTTGCCTTTTTAGCAAGTGCACAATGCACACCTTAAATTACACCTACAAAGTATTGAGGTTTCCCAGATATAATTAACTAAAGACTTGTGACTTAAGCTCATCATGTGAATTATAACGCCTACCGAAAAAATAAAAAATAATCAATATACTTGTCAAGATCTTTTAGTGATTCAAAGTAAACTACATGTAAAGTTTACCAAGCAAAAATTTAAACAAACAAAACAAATTCACAGAATGGTAACCTACTTACTATGGAAATCATTTGGAAGTACATATTAAAGAGAACTATGAATCCAAACATAATTTATTAAAATAAAAAATATGGGTGTAGGTGAATCATTGCAACTTGGGCAGTTAACTCCATCCAAAATTATCCACAAAGCAGGAAAAAGAATGAAGCGAAAGACAAAAAATATGAGGAATAAAACTAAAGAAAAGAGGTGCAAAATCTTAAGAAACTCATTAGATCAAGCCAATTGAATGTCTTTATCAGGTAGAATATTGTCATCTATTAAACAGTGGAGTTCATTACGTGAGTGGATCAAAGAAAAGAAGCAATGTTGTCTGCCTGGAAAATATGCTAGAATGAAAATCAAATATATTATCAAAGCTACAAAATAGATCATAAGACAGAGTAATGGTAGCTGCAATGGGTAATCAATTTTTCTTATGACTTTTTTATCTTTTATTTATCCACCGGGGTCTAATCCAATCTATGAGGCAAGAAGGAAGCTACTTTACCTTTTGTGCAAATACATAAGAGTGGAGCTATTTTTGTCGATTATGGAGCTGGTTAGGACATGTCATCGCCCCACCGAAGAGCTCAAATCTCGATTAATTGTGCTGCTCCTATCTTCTTTTGTGAAGCAATAAATGCAAGGTTAGAAAATTAATCAATTCATGCGACATACAAATGCAATAAAAATATGAGATTTTGGGCATTTCAAATCCTATAGAAACTTACTTTGTTTCATTTTTTCTCCAAACGAAACACAAAATGTTTAAAATGCTATTGAACCTAATATAATATCCTCCTAATACATTCAATCAAGTAGCTCTTCAATGGATTTAACAAAACGGGAATTGAAAATTTTGACTATTTCATTCAAAATAACTCTGACAACTCTTTCTATATAGCTTCAAATGTTTAATCACCTCTATATGCAGTGCATAACCTATTATTTGGTTATAGTAAAGCACAATTATGTTAACCTTTTCTTTTATGAACTTGTAATTTGAATATGGTGACTAGATACTATATGAATTTAGTGCGTGTTTATATGGTTGTAATCCATATTATGAGGGTGTGCAAGGATAAAATGTGTATCAATCATAATCTTAAAAGTTCTAAGAAGCAAGAAAAAAAAAGATTGGAGACAATGAAGTTGTCAATTTTGAAATTGGTTGGCCTTAGCTTCAAATTTTTACTTAATTTTGTATGGAAATTAGCATAAAACACATTATAATTTAAATTTAAAATTGCACAATTGGATTTTAAGGTATAGTTTGATTATGTGGTGAGCAATAAGCCACAAAATCAATAAATTGTGCAAAATAAAAAAATAATATATTGAGTTCAAAGAATATATTGAATATGGTGACTAGATACTATATGAATTTAGTGTGTGTTTATATGGTTGTAATCCATATTATGTGGGTGTGCAAGGATAAGGAGTAATATGTTAACATCCCAACCTATTAGTTTATCAGATATAATAGATTAACATCCTATCCTAATGTAATGAAAGTAAAAAATTGTTCAAAGCAAAAAGTTATTTGTTAACATTCAAATATTAAATCATAAAATAAAAATAATTGTACAAACATTAAAGTAAGATATAGTAACATAAAAAAAAATTAAAATAAACTTTGTGCAATTAGTCTCTGACGCACTTCTATTATCCTCTATTAAAATAAGAATATAACAAGTGACTAAGGTTATATTTTTTAAATTCAAAAGTCCGCATCACTCATATTTCTCAATCAGGCTTCATTGAAATTATTTGCATAATATTTTCTTCTCTAACTTGTCTTAACCTCAATTGTATCATCTTAAATATCAATGGTGTTGCTCTTATTTAATCAATATTAATTGAAGATAATATTTATTAGATTTTAAAATAATAGTTATGTTGATAGTATAAATAAGTAAAGAGTAATAATTATGTTTATTTTATTTATGTTTATGTTTTAAATAATCGATTTACTTACACATGCCTTGATGGTGAAGCATGTCTTGAAGCAAGTTTGAAAGTTATGTGAAATATTGAAATGCATATGATGTCTGATCTCCACCGTTCATCAAAACAAATATGTATTTCGGTGGGCCCCATTTTTATTTTTATTTCTTAAAAATTGATGGACGGTGGAGATCGGACACGGTATACATTTATATGGAATAATTTTTCGAAGTATGTGAGGCTTAAGCCTTATGTCACAAAATTTATTCTCATGTATTTACATTTCAAACATCTTAACTTTTATATTTACATACATTACATTTTATGGCTTTAAACCTAAGCATGAAAAGGTAAATTTGACATTTTTTAAAAAGTGAGAAGTGCTGTAGTTGATGTTATATTAAGATAATTGAGCGTTATGTGTGTAAATAAGAAAGTTTAGATTTGGAATGTAAATACATAAGAAAAGTGTGGTATTTATGTAAATGCCCCAAAATTCGGAATCCAAATTTCGCGGAGCACCGCCGGCCCTCTACACCGACCTCCCCATGCTCTTCCGCGCCGCCGCCTCTTCCAGGACTATCCGCACCACCGTAATCGCCATCTTCTGCCGGCGGAAGACCACCTCTGCACAGTACGTAGCTGCCCGCCACCGCGATCCCACCTTGGAGAAGCTAATGGACGGGTACAAACACTTAATCTCTGTCCTGTTCCTCCAGGACCTGATCCTATCCTCCCCCGACCTCTCCATCCCCCTCCCTTTCCTGTCCTCTCCAGAAGCCTCCCGCCACCTCCGCCTCCGCCGCGGTCCGGCCCACTTCGTCCGCTCCTTCCCCGCGGTTTTCTCCCTTCGTCCCCACCCCACCGCCTCCCTACCCGCCCTCGTCTACCTCACTCCTGCCGCCTCCCGCCTATCGGAGCACGTTACTTGCGCCGATCCATTCGCCCTCGAGCGCATCACTCGCCTCCTCTCTCTTTCTAGCTCCCGCTCTTTCCCCCTCCGCGCCCTCATCCGCGTCCGGCATGAACTCGGTCTCCCGCAGGATTTTGAAGATTCCGTCATTGCCAGCAATCCCTTGCTTTTCTCCCTCTCAACAAACCCTCGCGAGGCCGGCACCCACATTGTCTCTCTCGCCAACCCCGCCCCAACGGTCGTCCCCGCCGTTGACGCCTGGCGCCTTCGCCGTTTAGAAGATCTCAATCAGAACGATTCAGAATCCGCTGGCGAAGATGCAGAGATCCGTTTTGGATTCAAGCAGACCTTCCCACCGGGCATGAGGCTGACAAAGGGCTTCCGATCCCGCCTCAAAGAGTGGCAACGCCTACCCTACCCTCGCCCATACGAACCCCTCCCTTCGGCCGGTGGCAGCCTTGGCCGGAGGAGAGCTTTAGAGAAACGAGCTGTGGCGATTGCCCATGAGTTCCTCAGCTTGACGGTGGAGAAGATGGTGGAGGTGGAGAAGTTTAGCCATTTCAGGAAATCCTTCGGCATCGATTTAAATATCCGCGATCTCCTCCTGGATCACCCTGGTATGTTCTATTTATCCACCAAGGGAAGAAGGCACACAGTCTTCCTTCGGGAAGCCTATGATCGTGGCTGCCTCATCGAATCCAATCCCATCTACGAGGCAAGAAGGAAGCTACTTCACCTTGTACAAATGCGTAAGAGAGGAGCCGCGTTTGCCGATTCTGGAGTACCGGAGCTGGTCAATGTATGTCACCGCCCCGCCAAAGCGCCTGAATCCCTGATTAACTGAGATGCTACTGCCTTCTTCTGCCAATCGCCCCTCCGGCCCTGTAGTCCCAAAGTCTTACTGTAGACTGGAGAAGCGCTATGCTTGAACAGAAACTGAGTTCTGATTTCGCCTGACCTGAATCATTTACCTTGATAAGTAACAATTTTCACAATAAAGATAGAAAACCATAGCAGAAAACTAATGAACTCCAACCAGCGACAACTATTTTTAGTAGAACTTGTTAGTTTATTGTCAAAATCTCATATTTTTTGTCTCATTGGAAAGAAAACAATATTTTTTACAGCTTTTATGTTTATTATTTCTTTCTATTTCCATTGATAAGCAGATTTTATAAATGAATATGATAAATCATTGCTGAAAAATGAAGAACTTCAACCTACCGCAGCTATTCTTAGCATAACTTGCTAGTTTCTTATTGGAATCTCATCTTTTTGGTGTCTATAAAAAGTTAACAAGATTTTCTGCAATGTCTATGTTAACCATTTCTTCATATTTCCACTGCATAGTAGTAAATTTCTTAATAAATATTGAAAATCATAGCTGAAAATTGAAGAACTTAAATCAACCACAGCTATTTTTAACATAACTTGATAGTTTATTTTCGTAATCTCGTGTTTTTGTTCTCGTTGGAAATTTAAAAAGATTTTCTACCACTTCTAAAGTGTTAACTATTTATTCCCCTTTCCACTGATAAGGAACAGATTTCATAAATAAAGATAAAACTCATAGCAGAAAAATGAAGAACTCAACCCGCCGCAACCATTTTTAGCATAACTTGTGAGTTTTTTGCTTGAATCTCATGTTTTCGTTGCAACGTTAACAAGATTTTATACAATTTTTTTGTTAATCATTTCTTCATATTTCTACTGACAAATAGCATATTTCACAAATAAAGATGAAAATCATAAGTGAAAAATGAAGAACTAAAACCTCCCGAATCTATATTTAGCATATAACTTGCTAGTTTCTTGTCCGAATCTCATGTTCTTGGCGTTGTTGGAAAGTTAGCCAGATTTTATACAACTTTAATGTTAACCATTTATTCCTATTTCTACTAATAAGTAGCAGCTTTCATAATAAAGCTAGAAAGTCGTAGTCGAAGTTCGAAGAACTCCAACCAACCACAACTAATTTTAGCATAGCGAATCTCATGTTTTTTGTATTGTTGGAAAGTTAACAAGGTTTTTTAGAGCTACCATGTTAACCATTTTTTTTCTATTTTAACATAATAAATAGCATATTTCATAAACAAATGTCAAAATAATAACTGAAAGATTGAAAATAATTACAGAGCAGCCAGTGCAAAATCAAATGGGAAGATTTAATGCACATCTACCAAACATCCTTAAATTTAGGTAATGTGAGTTTGTACAAGAAATTAACATTAATTTTAAATTTGTAAGGCCACGAAAATAACCATCATTTGAGGGTTGGAAAGCTAAACAAAATATTTTTAAGGAACGATTAATCAGTAATCACCTTCATATGTTTCAGAAACTCTTGACTTCATACTCAAAGAGGAAGTTACCCATCAATGGATAAATTATTTACATTGACCGAAAAAAGCTTCCAAGCATAATAATCTACAAAAATTTCAACTGTTGTTAGAGTTTAACAACTTCTCAAACATATAAAATTATTGATAAGCTGAGTCATATTGTATGTAAAAATCTAAAGTATTACTACAATTCTAAAAATCATGCTTTAATGCATCTTACTGAGTCTTAAAAAAAGTCTCATGTAAGGTAAGACCGAAGAGAAAATCTGGGTCTTCCCTTCCTTCTAGTTTTGAGTCCACCTCTCTATTAAGGAGAGAGGCTCGACTGAAAGTCTAGAGTCTTTTCATAATAAGCATTGACCATAAAAGTCATTCAAAACTTGCAGCGGATGACAAACCTGAATCTGCATTACTCCACTTATGCAACAAATCCAAACAGATATGGATAAACTAAAAGAATGCATGAAATAACAGTAATCAGAAACAAACTTGGTATTTGACAACTGATGCAAAGATTTGTTGCATAGTAAAGGAGAGTAATGGCAATCGTTGCTAATTTCAGTTGAAAAAAAAGGAAGATTTACATGCATACCCCTGAAGTCATCAGTGTTTAGATTTCTAAAAAATAGACTTTAATTTTTAATAATGAAGAACATGTTTCTGGAGCCATTAAGCAGAATGAAAAAAAACATATAGAGATGCATACATCTCTCTACATGGCTCATATTTGCAGAAGTAATACATTACCTGAGAGGTGATGCCAAGGTTCCCTACTCACACTTGATATTCGTACAAGCAAGAATGTCCTAAACAATTTATTTTTCCCCTCATGAGGAGAAGATAATTTTCTTGATGTGATTTTTTCTTCAGAGATAGAACTTCTTTTGTGGTTGAAAATACAAAAGATGATGATCATAGGCATTAAATTTGTATGAAGCTATTTCAACTTGAATACAAGCATTAAGACGAAAATTTCAACACACTAAGCTATGTGAGTGATAATTTTAACACATGAAGCAATGTAAATATAATTCATGCTACCTGCGGAAGAGCCTACGAAGATGAGATGAACGATGTGCGTGCTAGCTTGGAGGAGATGAATGGAGACATTTCGTTATGCAAGAGGGCACTAGCAACATCCACCAGCTATCACACTTTCGAAGCCAAACACATCGAAGTACCAAAACTTAAGATTTTTGGGGGAGCTCGAACGCAAAGAAAGTAGACAACTTCCTATGGGGACTTGACCAATACTTTGGAGTGATGGGGGTTACAGATGAAGATACAAGAATTTAATTTGCAACCATGTATCTCTCGAACGTTGCTATGTTGCGATGGAGAAGAAGACGAGGAGATATCGAGAAAGGTATGTGCACCATATCCACCTTTGATGACTTCAAAAGAGAGCTAAAGAAACATTTCTACCTTGAGAACGTGAAGGATGAGGCTAGAGCCTGGTTGCGAAGCTCAAGCAAATAGAATCGATTCGAGAATATATTAAGGATTTTACTAGCCTGGTCTTTGAAATTCCCGACATGTCTGACAAGGATGCTCTTTTCAACTTTATGGATGGACTATAGCTGTAGGTGAAGGCTGAGCTTAGAAGGCGTAGAGTGCAAGATCTTGTCACTGTCATTGAGGTCGTCGAAAGCCTAATTGATTACTCAAAAGAGTCCACAAAGCCTAAAGATAAGAAAAGTACATGTGTCAAGGTTAGGGAAGACAAAGAACAACGCAAGGAAGAAATCCGCTGCAAATCGACCCCATCCAAAGTAAAAGATAAGGGGAAGTCTAACGACAACAAACAACAACTGTTTTCTTTGTGGAGGACCTCATTGGGCAAGGGACTGCCCTGAGAAGAAGGTTTTGAACTCTCTCTTTGCAAGCCATCAGGAGGAATACGACAAGACAAGTGGGAACATGCAACTGCTCAACGTGGTGCGCTCCTCTCCAAAAAGCCCAGCAGAAAGACTTCTCTTTGTAAAGGTGATTATAGGTGGGACATCTACTAAAGCAATGATAAATACAATTTCTTCTCACAACTTTATCTTTATTGAAGAAGCAAAGAGGATGGGTCTGCAAGTCTCCATCAAAGCAGTTAACTTAGCGACTAGGCCAATCCATGGAGTGGACAAAGGAGTGAAGACCTATGTCGGAGATTAGTCATGTACGCTGAATTTCTCCATCATTCTATTGGACAATTTTAACTTAATCCTTAGTATAGAATTCTTGGATCAAGTGAGAGTGTTCCCAATATCATTTGTTAATAGCATATCAACATGGAGGGCAACTGACGGGAAGGAGGAGAGCTACTTGGTTGACTTGGTTGTTCTTCATGACCCCGATGAAGAATTGAAGCCCCAAGAACACATGCCAAGGGAAATGGTGGCAATACTTTAGAAGTTTAATGATGTTTCACTATCAGAATTACCAAAAGAACTACCACCAAGAAGGGAGATTGATTACCAGATCGATCTAGAGCCAGGGAATAAGCCACCGACAATGGGAGTTTATCGCATGGCACCTTCAGAGCTGGCAAAGCTTCGCAAACAATTGAAAGATTTATTGGAGACAGAATTCATCCAACCATCTAAAGCCCCATATGGTGCCCTAGTTCCATTTCCGAAAAAGAAAGATGGTTCCCTAAGCTTGTGCATAGAATAACGATCATTAAACCAAAATTAACACAAAGAATAAATACCCAATTCTTCTCATCGCTGAACTTTTTGATCAATTGGGGAGTGCAAGATATTTCTCAAAATTGTATCTCTGATCAGGCTACTACCAAGTGAGGATAGTAGAAAGAGATGAATCGAAAACCACTTGTGTGACCAGGTATGGATCATTTGAATTTTTGGTTATGCCTTTTGAGCTAACCAATGCTCCTGCTACATTCTACATCTTGATGAACAAACTATTCCAACCATACTTGGATCATATTGTTGTTATCTACTTGGATGACGTAGTAATGTATAACAACACGCTCCAAGATCACCTTGAGACACCTCCGAGAAATATTCAAAGTACTAAGAAAATAAGCTATACATCAAGAAAAAAAATGCTCTTTTTTTCCAAACAAGAAGTAATATTCTTAGGGCATAACATAAAGGATGGAAAGCTTATGGTGGAAGAAAGCAAGATCAAGGCCATCCAAGATTGAGAGCATCCTACCAATGTACTTGAACTAAGATCCTATATGGGACTTGTAAACTATTATCGATGATACATAAAGGGTAATTCTGCAAGAGCTGATCCGTTGACAAACCTATTCAAGAAGAATAAGTCATGGGCATGGAATAGCAAGTGTCATGAAACATTTGAAGACCTCAATAAGACAATTAGTGAAGAGCCCGCACTTAGCCTTCCTGATCATACCAAGGTGTATGAAGTGCACACTGATGCATCTGAATTTGCTAAAGGAGAAGTACTCATGCAAAATGGACATCTAATTGTTTATGAAAGCTGGAAACTTAATGAGACGAATCTAATTGCTTATGAAAGCTGGAAACTTAATGAGACGAAGCATCGCTACACAGTCCAGGAAAAGGAAATGAAGACTGTCGGCACTATTTTTGGTGTGGGGTTTGCCCGTAAGGTCATCGGAATTGAAATCCCGTTGCCTGCTTCGGAAGGACGTTAAAAAAAATTTAGTTTTGAAAAAGATGAAGTCAAACTGACCCCATAATTTTCATAGTTTAAATG